ATGCTTGGTAAAGTAGAGGGTCAGCGAAAAAGAGGAAGACCCTCAATGAGATGGATTGACACAGTGGCTGCAACAACAGGCTCAAGCATAACGACCGTGAGGATGGCGCAGGACTGGGCAGTGTTTCGTTTTGTTGTACATAGGGTTGTTATGAGTTGGAACAGACTCGATGGCACCTAACAACAACAACATATGAAGATTACAGCCAACAAAACCTTATGAAGCAGTCCTACTACGTAACACATGGGGTAGCCATGAGTGAGGAGCTGATTCAATGGCAGCTAACAACAACCACCAGGGATGGGAGGGAGGGGGAAACTGGGAATTCCTGTTTGGGAAGCAGTGAGTTCCTATTTGTGGTGATACCAAATTTGGGAACAGATATTGGTGATGGTTGCACAACATGACAGATACAATTGATCTCACTGAACTGTACACGTGAAAAATGCTGAATTGGCAAATGTTGTGTTATCTATATTTTTACAACAATTTAAAAAAAAGAACATTTATTTAGGAAAAAGAAAAGCCCACTATAAATGAAAAAAATAAATTTATCAATGCACTATAGCAAAGCCACACATTCACCACTGTAAACTTTCAAGAACATGCAAGAGAAAGAAAAAGCCGTAGCGCTCTTTTTAATTAAATAAAAAAAGGACTTTCAAATTGTCGTCTGAGGCATGAGGACATGTTTTAAAAACTTCAAAACGGATTGTCATCAACTCTTTATCCTAGGACTTCAATATTAAGGAAAAAATAAAAACTATTTGTCTCATAAATATAGATTCTCACTATGCCTTCATAAAGGAAATTCTGGATCCAAGACTGGACAAATGAGAGTGCAGTCTAAGATGTCATGGTTTCTAGTTTTCTGTTATGGAAGTGAGAGCTGAGCTACAAGGATGACGAAGAGGAGTAAGAGAGCAGAGACTCACAACTGCGGCTCTCTCACAGTGGAGACTCGCTCTTGGAGCACAGTGGGCACTTGGTTAGGTTTCAGAGACACTTCTGGAAGCAGGGCTCCCTGGAGGTGCCTTGCCATGCATGGCGCCAGCCTCCTTCCAGCTCGCCGCCCCTCTGCCTTACCTCAGACACCTTACATCCCACCTTCTACTTGGGTCCTCCTGCTTCCTGACCAAGTGAGGACCTCAGGGAACTCTTCCCGGCCACTCTTCAGGGTTGGCTGCCCTGCCCTCCTACACAGGCGCTTGGCCCATCCTTCCACACTGCGGCCCAGCACAGGTGGGAGGTAACCCAGGCCTAAGGACAAACTCCAGTGTTACCTATTTGCCTTTCCAGGTCAGCGGCTTCATCAGGTGTGGCTCGTGGAAGGACACCAGGGTCACTGAAGCTGGTGCGGAGCAGAGTCCCCATCACAAAGAAGAATAGGATGCCACCCACCACAGGGATTGCAGGTGTGATCTTCACGGCCAGATATGGACAGCTGCCAACAGGAGAGAAGGGGCAGGCAGAGGGGAAAAGAAAGGAAAGAGGCGTTAGTGATCCAAGAGAAAACAAAAACCAAACCTGCTGCTAGCATAACCCTGATATCAAATCCAGGCAAAGACATTACTAAAAAAGAAAACTACAGACTAGCATCTGTCATCAATATAGACATAAAAATTCTCAACTAAATCCTAGCCAATAGAATTCAACAGCAGATCAAAAACGTAATACATCACGAACAAGTGGGATTCATACCAGGCATGCAAGGATGGTTCAACATTAGAAAATCAATCAACATAATCCACTACAAAAATAAAACAAAGGAAAAGAATCACATGATTATCTCAATTAATGCAGAAAAGGCATCTGATAAAGTCCAACTCCCATTCCTGATAAAAACTCTCAGCAAAGTAAGAATAGAAGAGAAATTCCTCACACAGTAAAGGGAATTTATACAAAACCAACAGCCAACATTATCTTCAATGGAGAGAGACTGAAAGCATTCCCCTTGAGAACGGGAACCAGACAAGGATGCCCTTTGTCACCACTCTTATTCAACAATGTATCGGAAGTCCTAGTGAGAGCAATAAGGCAAGAAAAGGAAATAAAGGGCATCCAAATTGGGAAGGAAGAAGTAAAACTATCCTATCTGAAGATGATATGATTCTATACATCAAAAATCCCCAAGATTCCAGAAGAAAGCTGTTGGAACTAATAGAAGGATTCAGCAAAGTGGCAGGATACAAGACCAACATTAAAAAATCAGTTGGATCCCTCTACATCAACAAAGAGAACATTGAAAAGGAAATCAGGAAAATAACACTGTATACAGTAGCCCCCCTAAAAGATAAAATATTTAGGAATAAATCTAACCAGGGACGTAAAGGACTCACAAAGAAAACTACAAAATACTACTGCAAGAAACCAAAAGAGACCTACATAAATGGAAAAACATACCATGCTCTTGGATAGGAAGACTTAACATTATGAAAATGTCAATACTACCCAAAGCCATATATCGATATAATGCAATCCCAATCCAAATTCCAACAGCATTCTTCACCAAGATGGAAAAACTAACACTAGCTTTAGATGCAAGAGAAAGAGGCCCTGAAGAAGTAAAGCTTTATTAAAGAAGAAGAACGAAGTAGGAGGCTTCACACTACCTGATCTGAGAAACTACTATAAAGCCACGGTAGTCAAAACAGCTTGGTACTGGTACAACGACAGACATATAGACCAATGGAACAGAATTGAGAACCAAGCCATAAATTCATCCATCTATGGACAGCTGATCTTTGACAAAGGATCAAAGTGTAGTAAATGGGGAAGAGACTCTCTCTTTAACAAATGGTGCTGGCAAAACTGGATATCTATCTGTAGAAAAATGAAACAGGATCCATACCTCACACCATACACAAAAAACTAACTCAAAGTGGATCAAAGACCTAAATATAAACCTGAAACTGTAAAAATTATGGAGAAAAAATAGGGACAACTCTAGGGGCCCTAATATATGGTATAAATAGAATACCAAACATAACTAAAAATGCACACACAGAAGGAGATGAAGTGGATAAATGGGACCTCCTAAAAATTAAACACTTACGTACAACAAAAGACTTCTCCAAAAGAGTAAAAAGGGAACCTATAGATTGGGGAAAAAAATTTTGGCTACGACATATCTGACAAGGGTCTAATCTCTAAAATTTATAGAAAACTTCAACACCTCAATAACAACAAAAAAGACAATCCAATTAAAAATGGGCAAAGGATATGAACAGACACTTCACCAAAGAAGACATTCAGACTGCTAACAAACATGAAGAAATGCTCATGATCGTTAGCAATTAGATGCAAATCAGAACCACAATGAGATACCATCTCACCCGGTCATTACCAGCACCAATCAAAAAAGGGAAAATAACAAATTTTAGGGTTGTGGGGAGATTGGAACTCTTACACACAGCTGGTGGGAATGTAAAGTGGTACAATCACAATGGAAAACAATATGGCACTTCCTTAAAAAGCTAGAAATAGAAATATCATATGATCCAGCAATCTCACTTCTACATATATACCCTAAAGAAATAAGAGCTGTGACATGAATAAGCATATGCACACCCATGTTCATTGCAGCATTATTCACGATAGAAAAAGGTGGAAGCATTCCAAGTGCCTATCAACAGACGAATGGATTAACAAACTGTGGTACATACACATAATGGAATACCAAGCAATGATAAAGAACAATGATGAATCCGAGAGATATCTCACAACATGGATGAATTTGGAGAACATTATGCTGAGTGAAATAAGTCAATCACAAAAGGACAAATATTGTATGAGACCCCTATTATAAAGTAACAACAATAATTTTACATATAGGAAAAATAAAAAAATTCTTTGATGGTTACCAGGGATGGGAGGGGGAGGGAGGGAAAATCACCAAATAGATAGTAGACTTGTTAATATTGATGAAGGGAAAGGCAATACACAATATGGGAGAAGTCAGCACAACATGTTCAAGGCAAGAGATGACACTGAGAGGAATGCAAGAATAAAGGGCGACTATGGTAACTACTATAGCATAGACAATCCTGCAACAATAGTATTAACAAACAATAATTTACGAATGGATACATAAGTAGATAGGTATGCCAAGATGCGTAGGAGGGTGTAAGGGAGCACACTCACTGGCAGATACAGGTTTGGTGGTGGATATTTCCAAATACACGACTGTAGGTGCTCCTCATATGTTAATATAGCCAATAAAGCATACTAGTGGCACAGTTAGGGAAATCTCTTAGACACAACCAAATAATCCGTGGGATGAAGTTCCTAGGCTCGAAGGCAAAGCACCATAGATTCTGGGGACATCTACATCAATTGGCACAACACAGTTCATAAAGACAATGTTCTGCACCCTACTTTGGTAAATAGCATCTGGGGTCTTAAAAGCTTGACAGCTGCCATCTAAGTAAGATACAACTACTGATCTCTTCTAGTCCGGAGCAAAGAGTGATAAACAACAACAACAAAGACTCACGGGAGCAATTAGTCAAAAGGTCTAATGGACCACATGCACCACAGCCTACACAACCCTGAGACCAGAAGAACTAGATGATGCCTGGCCACCACTACCAAATGCTCTGACAGGGATCACAACAGAGGGGCCTGGACAGAGTGGGAGGAAAAATGTAGAACAAAAAATCGAATTCACAAAAAAGACCAGACTTACTCATCTGACAGAGACTGGAGTAACCCTCCAGACTATGGCCGTAAGACACCCTTTTGATCTGGAACTGAAGCCATTCCCAGAGGCCACCTTCCAGCCAAACAAGACTCAAGGAGTTATCTGTGTGTGTGTGTATAGCCAGCCCCACAGAGGTCTGGCAGACAGACAGAAGCCAGAAGAGAAACAGCAGGAAGAAGCAGCAAAGAGAAAGAGGAGGGAAGGTACCTCCTAAAAGAGCTGTAACACTGGTCAAGGGCTGTAATGCTGAAGACAGCGAGAGGCCCAGAAGGGGCCCAGTGGCAGAGCTGGCGGTCACAGATGGCCAGGCCAAGAGAAGCCCGTCCTGAGGTGGGCCTGAGAGGAGCTTGTCCTGAAAGGGGGCTGAGAGGAGCCTGACCTCATGGGGCCAAGAAGAGGCCTACAGGCCTAGAAGAGCTGAGAGAGCTGTTCTGCACTCTAGAATGGAGACTGCCTACAAGCTTCCTGATCCTGATTCTGAGTTGTACCCTGTTCCTTCATAAACCACGTAACTGTAAGTATGGTCTGTGAGTTCTGTGTGGCCATTACAACAGATTATCGAACGAAGCAGAGAAGTAGAGAGTGCCGAGAGAGGGATGCTGGTGTCAGAATTGATAAAGACTGGAAAGTGGAGGTATGTCTGACCTCCACCTCACAGGGATCAGCCTTGGGCAGATCTTGATTCGCATTATCCCCCCTGAAGTTAGACAGGTTCAGATGTTGATGTTTCTATTACTACTACTATCAATACTACCTAGGTTTTAAAGCCCTTGAGTCGATTCTGACTCACAGTGACCCTATAGGACAGATTAGAACTGCCTCACAGGATTTCTAAGGCCATAATCTTTACAGGGGGGCCCTTGTGGTACAGTGATTAAGAGCTTGGCTGCTCACCAAAAGGCTGGCAGTTCGAATCCACCAGCAGCTCCTTGGAAACCCTATGGGGCAGTTCTACTCTGTCCTATAGGGTTGCTATGAGTCGGAATCGACTTGACAGCAACAGGTTTGGTTTTTGGGTTGATCTTTACAGGAGCAGATCACCTGAATAGCTGAGTGCAAACTCAAACTGTCTGCACCACACAGGGACCTAACAGCCAACTGTGAGCAGTTTATATTTTTTAAGAACCCAAAGGCTTACCTGGAGGAGTGAAACTGAAAATTCATCTATATTAAGAATTTACCTTTGAGAAGAACTCCAGATCTCGCTTGTGGACAATTTAACCTTCCTTCCCCTGCCCAATAAAAGGAGCCCCGGTGACACAACAGTTAAGCGTTCGGCTGCTAACTGAAAGGTTGGCAGTTTAAACCCACCCAGTGGCTCCACAGGAAAAAGACCTGGCAATCTGCTCCAATAAAGATTACAGCCTAGAAATCCTACAGGGCAGATCTAGGTCGCTATGAGTTGAAATCGACTCAAGGGCACCCAACAACAACAACAACCCCTGTCCAATAGCCAAACGTCTCTACTCTCTACACCCACAGCAGAATTCAGGCTGGCAGAAGAATGAAAATAATCCTGCTTGAGTAATAAATCTAAGCTATGCAGAGCTTGTATAAATATACATGTATCCTCTGCACTGTAAACACAGCCCATGAGTCTATGTCATCTCCCCACCCCATCCCTGGGATTGCAAAAAATAGGAAGACACAGACTTAGAACTATCTTCATCAGACCCAGCCTTCCCTCCCTGGGCCAAACTACTCAGGAACTTTCAGCTGGCACCAAACACCAAGGATTGAAA